ACTAAGAGCGGGGACAAGGTGATTTCAGAGGAAATAACCCCTGCCATGAGTGGAATGAACTTTACTGTTATTTCACAGCTTGATACTTGCCCTTATTACTGTGTTTTTCAACACCCCCCATGGGCTTTGAGTTTGTTACTTGCCAACATTTAATCTTGTTAAAATTGAACATTAATTTTGACAAATCCCATTGGATATTACAAGATTTTCTTCTGTTATAAAACCTAATCCTTCTGATAAAGGGAAATCATTTCTTGCCAATTAAAGGTGCTTTTGTTTTCTGTGTTGGTTCAGTCCGTCGAGGTCCCTTTAAGAGTTTTGATGATTTAACCATCTAAAACACCTAAAAACTTATCCACAAGAATACAAGAATTTGTCTACCAGGATGGACTCCCGTGGCCATTGGCGATCTGACATGTATTGTTCTGAGAAAGAGGTGAAAGAAACATCCTGACAGAGAAGAGCCCAGACCCCATACTGAGATAAAGGCATTGTCTTAGAGAGGGCAGCTAGCACAAACACGTTTCTGCTCTCATGTGACCGAAAGTGGGGTGTGATGTTGGTGGAATTAAACAAGCTTTTATGGATCTCAGTATGAAACCTCCTTTACAACAGTCTGTTAGGATACTGGCAGACAACACAAACGGCCTGCGCCTCAAAAGAATGGAACAGTGATATCAAAACAATAGAGTTTCTTTGCTGAAAACCCCATTCTGTTTGTGCAGCATATGAGACACTTTTCATGTTATCATACATACTGTGATAAGAAAGTAAAGACAAAGGTGAAGGGCAATGAAAAATATTCAAAAAGAGTTCACTGAACAGTAATATTCCCATATCAGTGTTCAGCATTTGACAGATAAAACAATATACTTGAAGGAGCGCTGTTTTGTTGTTTTTTTTTGAAGATTAAAAATGTTTAACAGCTGCTTTTCTTTGTTGTAGGATACAAATAATTCCATTAATTATTGTATTTTTTGAAGGAACAGTTTATCGTTTTCTTTGTCTCAAGTTGCTCCAAATTGTATAAATCTCACTTTTTTTTATGGAAAATCTAAAGGACCAAAGGTAGCACATTGTCCCTTTGGTTTTTTTAATGTCCTTAATTAAAGTTTAACTGCTTTCTGGATTATAAACTGATTACAGATGAGATTAGATCAAAACCAAAGATGAAGAATATCTCTGTACAGTCATTTAGCTTGTGGACATCAATTGTTTCTGTCAAAACCATCTTTACCAATTTATAGAACATTTGGAGTCATAATGATTATAAATAACACATTTTCCAATTCCAGTTTCCACCAATTTATGGTGCTTTGTTGTGCACAGAGTTATATATATATATATATATATATATATAGAGAGAGAGAGAGAGAGAGAGAGAGAGAGAGAGAGAGAGATGATAGATAGATAGATAGATAGATAGATAGATAGATAGATAGATAGATAGAGCATTCTTTGATGTAATAGCCTTTCACAGGGATTCCTAAAATCAATTGCATTCAAAAATTATTATTAATATTATTGCTTAAATATGCGCTAAATAGGCTATGAAAAATAGTCATAATTCAAAATAATGAAGCAGTTTTTGTGTATTGTGGGTGTGTACTGCAGGGTGTGTTGTAAGATCATTTGCTGGGTGTGCATGTGATCACACTGCTGGGTGTGTTGCGTGTTCAGCACTGCTGGTGCAGTATTTATTTATTTTTTTTCCACCTGCATCAGATTTTCACCTGTGAGAAACCACTGGCATTTTTAGACTATCTTGTTATTTCTTTTAAGTATCTCCACTGGCCTTGAGCTGCAGCCTGTATCTCATCTACACAGAGGTCATCTTACCCTCTGCTGTTCTGTTCATACCCTTTTGCATAGCAAAGCAACTATGTAAAGGGTATAAACTCAATGAGTAACACCAATAATTAAGGGCTTGATGGTATAATTTTACTTGAGGACATTTATTACATGTCTGTATACTAAATCTGCTGCACAGTTTTTTTTTTTTTGTCTGATTCAGGGAGTGTTCATATACATACATGCTTGCACAAAGCAGGTTATCTAAGCTTGTGCTCTAAGTTTATATGCATATGTGTATATATATATATATATATATATATATATATAGAGTCACAGCAATATGTTTACTGATCGGTGCAGTTAATAGTCTTCTGCTTAAAACGCCACGTTTTGGACACAAACTGTAAGGTCTTTCTTTGAAACAGGTACCTTTTTGATAAAGTTATTTTAAACAGTTTTGTAATATTTCAAAGATTCTGTTAGGTATATAATGCGTTTAAATTGCATTTTGCCATCTCTTTAATATGCAACTGCAAGTTCTTGGAACATAATTCCAAGCCTGGGAGTGACGCCTGCGAAGTTGTTTCTTAAAAATAGAGTTATTTATTTGTTTGTTAATTGAAAAAGGGGGAAATTATTTTAACAGGGCTGACAACTTCACAAGAAATACACAAGTCAACTAATACACTGTCAACTACAATCAAACATAAAGAAAGAGTGAGTACATTCTTTTGAAGAAATGAATGAAAAATAAATAAATAAAGAGTATCAATGTGGATTTTTGATGTGTTTTGAAAAAACTTTTAGTATCCCTATTTTCCTGTGCATTTATTTCATGAGTGATGTGATTACTTTTCACTGAAAGAATCAGACTTTGCATGCAATGGATTGCATTTCCAGTAATAGTGCAGCAAGCATATTTGTGTTCGTTTTGCTTATTGTTCTCTGAAGAAAAAGTTATTAAAAGGAAAATTATGAGATCACAATTTACAAATATATAAACAAATACAGTGTTTGTGAATGGTGTTTATCCTGCATGTTTAAAATTTAGTTTCATGTGTTCGTTTATCAGCTTCTTTCACTCCCGATTGTTTGCAGTGAGCTGCATTAGGACATTGTTCCTAATGAGTCGAAGACACTCCATTTCCCCTTTCTGAGAGCCCAGGGTACATCCCCTCCCGACCAGAAGCTGGACATGAGCGGTAATAGCTAAACATCTAAGTCTAAACACACCGCCCATTTTCATTTTCACTATCAATATCCATCGCGGGAAGTTCAGGGCACAATCTATGTGGCGCCTTCAAGTCTGAGAATGTTTTGTCCATGTACCATATTTCCATCATGCCTAATGAAACGTAAGTGTATGTTTTCTGTGTATGTGCTTGGATTGTTTTACCTTTTCCCATCTTAATGAATGTTTTCTCAAAGACAGTCATCTTCATGTGATGTGATTATTTGGTTGAGCTCTATCTGGGGCAGTATTTCTGTGGAAAGGAGCGCCATGTCTGCTCCAAACCTGGTCAAATCAGAGTAATGATGGAGAGGAGGAGGCGGCACTGTTTGGCATTCCTCAGAGGACACGCTGCTCGTTAGAGCCTTCATTAAACACAGCCTAGTCTCCATTCTGATAGGGAGACCATCAGAGACAATAACGCTCAAGCAGGCGTTTATATACTGCCATTAGCTCACCTGATTGAACACACTATAGAACCAAAGCTGATTTTCTTCCATTTCTTCTTTTTGTACCCTTGTTTGAAAACTATTTCAGGAAATGAAAATACAATAAAATAAAATTCAGTAAAATGAATTTTGTTGAAATTTTTTAATTAAAAATCAATACTTTTTAAAATAAAAAAACAAAAAACAGACGGGAAGTGTGAGCTAGGAGAGACCATGGGGGAATTTTTTATATTTTCATTCATAACTCAAGACTACTATAAATCGACCAGCCTTATTTTGGTATAAGTAACGTTTATATGTAGCTGTATCATTATAGACTTATAATGAAAAAAAAAAAAATCATAATACTGAATTTAATATAGCCTGATAACTGCAACACTAGTAAAATAAATTATATCAATAAACTATATCTCAAATAAGAGCACATTTCAAAGTAATCATTGCTTAAAAGTAAAATCATTGCTTTAAAACTTTATAATATCACTGAATGTTTTTCACTTTATGTAAATAGTGCATAATAAAATATGTGTAAATAAGCATCTTTTATTTCTTACTAAAATAGACAGTATTCTGGGTTAGTTCCAGTTGATTTCCAGGTGCTGTTTACAAACAATGATCCCCAAACAATGAGCATCCTAGTGATGATGTCCGTCCTGTCCTTCTGAGGCTTCAATGTTAGAGTCCTGCTCAGAATTTAAACGCTACCAGTGTTGCATTACAAGTAACTCGAGTTACTTAAGTAACTAGTAAAGTAACGCATTACTTTTTAATTTACAAGAGAATATCTAAGTTACTTTTTCAAATGCTACAACGAGACGGTCACGGCACAAAAATGCTATTCAAATGATAATTTGAAGAATACTTTATATTAACTGACTTTCTAATAATGCAGTACGTGTAATGACAACCATCAGTGGTTTACATTATGCATAGTTGTGCATTATGTGATTCATTTACAAAAAAAGAAAAGAAAACATAATGCATTCATCTCCAAAATCATTTCTGGCTTGGTGATGTGACATCCGAGATATGCAGCCTTACCAGGACATATCTTTCTGATCGAGAAGCACCTCTTGTATTACTTTTGCAGGTGGCATTGAGTTCTAGATGTACAGTGTACAAATGCACACAAAATGAAGAAGACCAAAATCTTACCGTTACCCTTTTCTTTACTAGTTATATGTATATATCATTTGTATATTATGTATTATGTACATATTATGTATATTAAGGCATACAATATTTGTGATCAAAATTCCACAAGATGGCAACAAAAAATGTTTTTGTTACTTTTTCAATCACTACATCTCTATTAATTAAAGCAACTGAAAACATATTGGTAACTTTTCAATATTAACACTTTACAGATAATACAAATAATCAAATAGACTACTCAGATATTGAAGGATAAATGCATCATGATAATGCTTTACCTGTTTCATGGGTTTGATTGATTGATACACTGAATGTAAGTATAAACATTTTCCAGAGGAAAAAAAAGAAAAGGAAAAAATATCAGAAGTTTTTTTTCCCCCTGATCCATCAACATTAATAGGAATTTCACGACAAATGAACCTCAAACGTACTCAGTGCGTTTTCTCGAACCATCGATAGTTCTGATCTCCTGCCTTTGACGGTGATACACCAGATGTGGTTCACTGTCTCTTGAGTCAGAGCAAGAGGCAAATAACAGCATGGCTGCCACAATGTCAAGAAGTCCTGCAGCCCAGCCGATGAACAGTGCATCCCCGAACTCTGAACGTGGCACCACGTGAGGTATGGACTCATCAAAGTACTTAATAACAATATCGTGAGCAATGTAGGAGATGGGAAAGAGCACAAACAATCCAGCGATGCATAAAAACACGCCAGCTGTGATCTTCAAACCTCGCTTGGTCCTCCGTCCCTCCTCACTCTTACAGCAATTGATCTGACTCATGGCAGGGATGGCGAGGAGAAGTCCGAGAAGACATGTGGCATCCGAAACACACATCAGAACTCGGGCCAGCATAAGCTTTGGTTCGAGGCCTAGGATAGTGTCATAGGGGCGACACTCTGTGCCAGCAACCTCCTGAATCACGCAAGCCTCCCAAAGCCCTTGTTCGTAGCTCTCCATGCCCATTAGTTCAGTAGAAAGTGACAACCACTGAGGCATGATGGTGGCCGCCAGTGAACAAAACCAGCCCCCCGTCCCAATCAGCATCCCTAGCAGTTCCAGAAACACCGTGCATGGGTTTGTCATGGTTACCTCTTGGGGTCCGATGGCCCTCAGGTTTGGCTGGCACCTCAAGAACCTCCTCTGGATGCAAAGGAATGAGAAATGAATAGAGGAGAGAGTGAGAACAGAAGTAGAACCTTGGATCCAGATACTGTAGAGTTGCAGGTTCTTCACAGTCCGTCAGTCTTCAGTAAGAGGCACTCATCATCTGAGCTTAAGAGGTAGAGGAAATGTGCACATGGGGAGAGAGGGCACTCAAACTTTAGGCCCTGCCCTCTAGGATCCTTTTTAGAGAGAGAATGAGAGCAAGAGAGAGAAAGATTATTTTATTCAGACCCTTGTCAGACCCTAGTCTGGCAGCAGGACACCAAAAGCCATATGGGATGTCATTAAACTGTAGACAGGATGCCATTAAAAATCCTGATTGTTGTCATTTTCAAGGGACAAACTATTTTGATTTTACAACCTCATTACAATTTGTTTGTATCTTTTCATTTGGTTTCCCTGCTGTCAGCAATGGGGAAAAAGGGAAAGAAGCATTTTCACTGTTTACAGAGTTTTTTTCTAGGAACGAATGGGTGAGAGATAAGCTCTGCTAAGTGCCTGGCAGTCCATTCTTTGACGCAAAGGAGAGCACGCCAAATATGCAACATGTACCTAACACAGGATCTTTGAAGCCTGCCGAATGTAACTCCTGCATTGTTAGTTTTATTTTAATTTTTTAATTGGAGAAAAAAAAATTTGCAGTGGAGGCTGAAAGGGAAAAACGTTGTCTGCTTTTTAATTGAATTGAATTTAAATGAATTTTATTTTTGATTTGATTTTATTTGATTTGATTTGATTTGATTTGATTTGATTTGAATTTTATTTAATTTTATTTAATTTTATTTAATTTTATTTAATTTTATTTAATTTTATTTTATTTTTGATTTGATTTTATTTTATTTTATTTTATTTGACATGTTTCCTTTTTTAACTGGTTTTCATTACAAATTATATTATAAACATTCAAAAATGAACATGAATTTGAGAATTTGACATGTTCCACAAGTTTGTATATAAAATTTCACGATTCACTTCCTTTATACAGCATGATTTGAGAATGAGAGCATCTTGTGATTCAATCTGATCATCTGTACAGGTCAATGTCACCAATTTACTTATTTGATGTCCTAGAAATGGTTCAGAATCCTAAACATTTCCATTTACATCAATTTATTTACAGTTATGTATTTGGCAGAAGCATTTATCTAAAGTAACTTCCACTGCATTCAAGGTAAATGTTTTGCCTGTTTGTGCATTCTTTGGGAGTTTAACCCACAACCTTGCGTTGTCAGTGTCATGCTCCACCAGTTGAGCTACACAAACATTACAAATGCTTTTACTGCTAATTTCAAGATTTAAATTAGATTTTGAAAGCTGAATTTTCAAAGTAGCTTCAGACATTTTGATCCCACCATATTTTTCTGTTACCTGTGAAACAATTCTCCTTTCCAACCTTTCTGATTGGAAAGTTGAGCAAGAGTATACTTTTTTTTTCTTTTCTTTTTTGAATTTCAAAGGTCTTACACTTGCAAAATCATTTTCATCTGTGGGATCTATTAAAAAAATGTTTTGACATATTGTACAATTAATATCAGTGCATTTAAGCATTGTGCAAGAAATCGTTGTTTTCTGACGTGAGTAACTTTGATACTTATGTCAGTACTATATTGCTATGCATAAAAATGAATCAGTTATTCAAGGAAAAGCGTGTTACCTGAAGCGTGAGGCTGTCTGGTTGGTTTGAGATCTGGCTTCTGCAGCGTGTGAGATTGTGTTGAGACAGACTTACAGAATGCCACGTATTGCAGTAGGAGGCTAAAATCTGTGATGCCATACAGTGGCTCTCCACAAACACATAATTGGCTCTCAACAAACCCATAATTAACATACACACACATTTCAGACTTTGTCTGAAAATGATGTTGATTACAGTTACTTATCAACATTTGCAGTCAAACATGTGATTTTGTGATTTTACTTAATTAAATGTAATTTTTTTTACTTTCCTATAGTCAAAGAATAGTTTTCATTCCAAACCTACTGTATGATCTTTCTCTTTGATTAAATATGAAAGTCCATGGCCACCATTCATTTATGAAAAAGGGTATAGCATCAGCATTCTTCTAAACTCCTCTTTTTGAGTTTCATATGCAACAAATTGATACTTGAAATAACATAAGGGTGCAATAATTATGGCAGAATTGACATTTTTAGGTGAACATTTCCTTTAAATGTCTGCAGAAGTTGAAAATGGATGTTAAGGTTATGAAAACCGCAATAGAGCTGTAAAGCTACATCTGATAAATGTATTTCAGTGTCCTAATGTCTTTTTATCTCTCTTTCTGATATTTCATAGATTGTTCCAGAATTTATATTTTTGATGACATTTAAATTGGTTTGACAAAATGTAGGCAGAGTTTAAACTACAGCATACACAGGCAAGTGCATCAGTTTATAACTTCATTTTTTTTTCAAGTTCACAGAGTACAGTAGCTTAATGTGTTTAAATAGTTTGATGAGAAATGGAAACAAATGAGAAGTAGGAAAACAAAAGTTAGATTTACTTTATTCTACAGGAAATAGTGAGATAAGGAGTGGGCAAGGCAGAGGTTTGATCTATGATGCGAGTATTAAATGCTAGAGGTTAGATAACTGAAAAGATACAATGTGGGGATTACAATTATTTATTTAATTATTTATATGAAAAAAATTAAAGGTTTTAAAATATGTATATGGTAAGACAATAAAGTACAATTTGTCAGTGACTTAATATATAGGCTTAAAAATACAGGTTAATTTAATTCCATTCATTCATTCATTCATTCATTCATTCAGGGACAACACAGATTAATAACACATAAAATCAAATTAAAATATGCCAGATTTTAGCCAGGGTGGCTAATAGCTAATTTTCATCTGCAGTCACAGCCAGTGCAGGTTGTTGAAAACTAAATAAATCAATAAAAATCAATCAATCAATCAATCAATCAAACAAACAAACAAACAAACAATCAATACCTGAAACAAACAATTTAACACTGAAAATAAATGTTCACAATTTTGATTTGACAAACTTTTACAGAGAGAAACCACAATAACTTCTTATTTCTTGTAATTTTTGCTGGAAGTCTAAAAAGGGCAAATTATGGATAGTATTCAAGTGACAAGAAAACAACAAAAGCAATGATGCATAAGAGCGTTAAAACTTTAGCCGCTACCTCCCCTGAATTTACTACAACTACAACTCATCTATAGCTGATGCATCATGTAGAGGATAAAAAAAATACTGGAAGTTGCCATCTCTAGATGGCGCTCTTATATTAAAAATGAAAACTAATTCAAGCGCATATGAAGCGTTTGAATTTCTGTGATTAGGCAAAAACAGTAGGCTATCCTGTAACGTAAAATATTCAGACAGAGACTGCAACAGTTTACCACGAAACGAAATATGTTTAAATTAGGAGTAGGCTACTTTTAAACATTTTTCTCTTAATACACCCTTATCCTGGACGAGACTAGTCCTCTAACATAATCTAAACAAGTATTATAAAAAAAATCCATTCAATGAGTCCAATGAGATAACCGTTGCTTTGATAAATTATATTTATTATTATTATTAATACTCTACTACTACTACTACTACTACTACTACTACTACTACTACTACTAATAATAATAATAATAAAAACTGCATCCACTTTCATCAACAACAATCCCAAAATCATACGAGCGCCATTATTGGCTTACTTTCACATACGTAAGCATTTGGGGGTGGTGATTATGCAAATACGCCTGCCCGAATATGGACAGTGTGGAATGAAAGATGGTAGATAGAGTCAAACATGGAGGACCGACACACAGAGTCATGAGAGCGCAGCAAAACTTTTTGTAAAAGGTGGATGCAGGACTGCCTGTGTCGATTTGACCCACGTTCGTTTCTTCGTCGTGAAGTTTTCTGTTTCCGAGAGTCGATGGGAGTTAAACATTTGTAATGCAGTAGAAAGTTGAGATATATTTGTTGTTGGAGTAAAGGCAGGGGGTCAGACCCCACTACCGTCCCAGCAGCGCTATGCCGTGGGTGAGCAGCTGTAAGCGGAGAGAGAGCTCGGAGCTGCCGCTGCCCCCGGGCTGGGAGGAAGCCAGGGATTATGATGGCAGAGTCTTTTATATTGACCACAACACTCGACAGACTTCATGGATCGACCCCAGAGACAGGTAAAAGTGACCGGGAGAGGTGCTGCGTGCTTTATTGGCTGAAGTTTGATGATTGTTTGGTTGTAGAGGGCGGGGGCTCAGATTGAAGTGATGATTAAGAAACGAGAGAAGTTGCACAGTTAGGAATAGAAGTGTTTTCATTCCACAGTCCAGAGCTGACACAGTGTAACATGGCTGGTTGTTTATTCTTTCTTTGGGCTTGTCATGCCAATTTTCTATCACATAAGCTGTAAATAATATGTTAGCTTTCTGGATTGCACACCAATAACTACTCATCTGGAAAAAAATCTCCTGTGAAATGCCTTGTGATTTGTATACAACCTTGTTGTTGTTGATGTCCCTACTTTTAATACTATAGACATTTGTTTTTTTAATTAAATTCTATATATGTGCAATATAATGTTATAACGTTATAAAGTTTAACGATATATAGAATATTAAGTATATAATTTATAAAAATGAATAACACTTCTCTTTACATTAAATGTAACCAGCTGAGTGATGTTAATAAGCATCCTATAATCTTCCCTCAGATGCTGAGTTGTCTTTATGAAAGCTGTGAGAACAAAATTATCTGTGTCAGTAAATGTTCTATTATAAGACTATTTAGAAGGTGAGGGATAACCATTAACCATTATGACTGAGTTAAGTTTTAGGAATTACTTATTTGTGACCCTGGACCACAATACCAGTCATAAGCGTCAATTTTTCGAAATTGAGATTTATACACCATCTGAAACCTGCATAAATAAGCTTTCCAATGGTGTATGGTTTGTTAGACTTCATGGATCGACCCCAGAGACAGGTAAAAGTGACCGGGAGAGGTGCTGCGTGCTTTATTGGCTGAAGTTTGATGATTGTTTGGTTGTAGAGGGCGGGGGCTCAGATTGAAGTGATGATTAAGAAGCGAGGGAAGTTGCACAGTTAGGAATGGAAGTGTTTTCATTCCACAGTCTAGAGCTGACACAATGTAACATGGCTGGTTGTTTATTCCTTCTTTGGGCTTTGT